TGAACAACGAAGGGAACAGGAAACCCAACAGTACTCGCTAAAATAACGTCTATCCCCATAAAGGCTACACTTGCACCGATTGACGCGACCCAAATCTTTGCAAACGTGACATTTATACCTGGTACGAACAGGTTGAGCTGGGAGATGAACGAGAGGTTTAATAGAAATACCATTAAGCTCAATCGAATCCAGAACATCCAGTTGGCTTGCCACCCTTCCGACGGAGAACTCAACGGGATGCACTCCAGTAACAACGCTAAGCACAGCGCTGGTAGCGGTGTAAGGATACAAACGAGGATGACTCGGGTTCGCGACGTGGTTTTGCAGTAGTAATTGAGACTTTCGACCCTCTCAATTGAATACGAGCCTTGCCGACCCACTTGAATCCGATTCCATCGTTCTTCGAGTTCCCATCCTGGTTTCATAGCCAGTTTGGCTGCATTCAGTTCTTCTGCGTTTGGAGCCGCTTTCGTATCATTTACTTTGCTGCGATCGCTTCTCATCGTGACACTTTGACGAGTAGTGTTTCCTACCACGACACACCTTTACTTAAAAATAAACGTCAAGTGTACCAACCCAACCGATTTGTGAAGCTTCTTTATTTAGTATTGCGAACACACTCTATAGTGTCGTTATCGCGCTTCACTCATCTTTTTAAAATATGAATCCTGACGAATACATTTCGTGGTGTGTGGTTTTGTATTGTAGAACGCGTGGAAATCTACGTCATATCACTTTCTCGGCGGTACAGAAATGATATTTCGATAGGGTCACTTATCGTAGCCATTCGAACCGAAAGCTGAAGTCGACTCCTGTGTCACGTAATGAGGCACACAACCCAGTAAGATAAAGGAGGAACCATAAACGACAGGGGGAGCATATAAATCGTACCAAGATGAGCCAGTTCGTATGATAGTAGAATCACCAATGAAAGAAACAACTTCGCTTGAACAATGTAAACTTGGGTTTCTAGAACGAACGCAACCTGATACAACGGAGAGAACGCAAACTTGCGTTGTAGAAACTGGTTCAGCATCAGAAACGACATAACTTCCAGTGCAGCAAACACCAAGATATTCACGACGGCATAAATTCCCCAATTACCAGCACCGCCAGGGTAGTAAACAATATTCGGTAGCTGCTCAAGCACGGACTTGTACGTGACAAATGCTATTGGGACAACACACTCAATATACTCGACGAGTGCAAGATATTCGCAGTGGAATAACAGCTGGAGTCCTTGTAAAACGACCTGTTTTGTCTGCGTGCCATTTGCATTCGTGCCAGAGTCTCCTTGGTGAATTGTTGAACTTTTACCAACATTCATTGGGTCTCTTCTTGATGATACTTTTGTGAGATCTGGTTCGATTGGCTGTACCGAAGTTTTATGGAGAAGACCAGCTATCAACCGCGTTTGGTGACGAATCGGTCGTGGAGTATTCACGGTATGAACAGTGCTCTGACTGTACGAGCCTGATGCTGCCAGGAGTTCAAGTTGCCCGGATCGATCATCTGGTAAAGGATGTGGAATGCATGCCTGCAATCGCGCACCGTGCATAAAGGTGATGTTGCTAGCACTGGGGTCGCGTGTCACTGTAAGAATCATCGCTAGCAATTCTGTAGTTCCAGTTTGAGCAGAGGGCAGAGAGTAGCTTCTCGATGATTGGCGATCATGAAGTAAAGCCACTAAAACATTTGCATTGGCACGTACTTCGCGGAACATCAGCGGCGATGAATAATGCAGATAGGTACACAGACCCCGCACTTGACATACAAACCGAGATGAACAACGTACTATAAAGATCCACGGTAAAAGTTACAATTTGTGGCATGAAGTTTTCGAGATCACGCGTAGCATTCACCATGAAATATTTGGCTCCAAATCTCCACATCGGCAACACAATTACGGTGACACCTCGGTACCTCGAAGGAATGAATTCGTACAGCGCTTTGTAGAATGGGTAAATTGCAATGAGGACCATGTACGCAACGTGATAGCGCTGAAATCTCTGAAGGTGAGGGCGACAGGGAGAGTTTTTCGTGAAGGGATCCTTGCCAAACACGAGCACAAGTGCCACCGGAACATAAATCATAACCACCAGACCTGTAGCTTGAAAGATAAATAAATGGAAGAGGAAATCCGATATTGCTTGATGCAGTTATTGCTGTTAACATATTAGCCACAATGACTAAGGCAGCGGCAATCAGAACTTTTGAAAGCGGAGCTTCCATAACCGGAACAAGTTTGGCTAACTCGTACATGCCCGTACAATTCATCGTGGACAACATCAATGCCAGACGAATCCAAAATACCCAGTTGGCACTCCATCCTTCAGAAGGAGGTCGAAGCGGTAGATACTCCAATAAAATAGCTGCCAATAG